AGACTTCTTTGGCACTGTCCCAAGACCTCTCTGGTACTGTCCCAAGACTTCTTTGGCACTGTCCCAAGACAGTTAACAAGTGTTTGAGTGGTGGGACCTCCTTCTTCTTCGTTGTAGGGACTTCTTGATTCACTGTACCTTGTACCACCACTCAAGCTCTGGTAAAAATTTTCCCAAAAACCCTCTCTTAGTGGCCAAATGCTGACCCCCTTTTTTTAGTTACCTCTTTTTCAATGTTCCAAGCAACTTGAAACCAAAACCTGTGCGCAAGTATCTTGTGATCACCTGTTCGTATAAAAACCAAACACAAATCCTTACCAAAATGCAACAAAAATCTAAGCAAGAAAAAATAATAAAAACAAAGAGATGAACCTAAAAAATTCAAAGGTGACAAATGTCTACCTTCTATCGAAAAAATGTCTGGTACTTAATTGCCACGCGTTTTCCTCCCCCCTGCTAGCGATCTTATGGGGTATCACAAAAACTGTCTATGTCCGTCCCCCCTACCGATCCGACCAGGGTACCTACCTTAACCTGATTCTAATTTTGGATATCCGCTTCCTATGACCAACGCGTGTAAATATCTAATGTAACTAAGTCGACGATGCCGAGCAATTAGTTACTCTAATGTGTCCCCCCTTTTTACAAATTATAACCGCCAACCTCTAACTTAACCAGCCCCCCTTCTAACCTCCCCCCTTTTTAGCCCCCCTTCTTAAGCCTAAAATTACCTTAAGCGCCGGGTGCTAAACCTCTCAAGAGAAAACCGTATACCTGTCTCCAGGCCTGCTCAAGTAAAAACGTTCCTCAAAACCGGGGGATTTCGCTTATCCAATTTTACACATATCTCCTATAATGTAATGTGGATTTTAACGATACCCGTTCTGCCCAACTTGAGAACTCGAGAACTGCCAAATCCTTCTTGGCTACTTTCCCACTCGACTGGTCACTTCTTCCAGTCCAGTCTCCTATTGGTTCAGCTCAAGTGCTCCTGAACCACTTTCCCACTCGGCTGGTCACCTCTTCCAGTCAAGTCTCCTATTGGTTCAGCTCAAGTGCTCCTGAACCACTTTCCCACTCGGCTGGTCACCTCTTCCAGTCAAGTCTCCTATTGGTTCAGCTCAAGTGCTCCTGAACCACTTTCCCACTCGGCTGGTCACCTCTTCCAGTCAAGTCTCCTTGTTGTCCAGCTAAGTTCCAAGCTATCTGAAAACCCTTGACAACGCCCCACACTCGGGCACTTTATTGAGGTTACTGGGTTAAATTGCTAGGTTGATCGAAACGATCGAATTTGTAAAACAGTATGGGTATACTATTTAATTAATATAAAGGTTTGATCCAACTAATCTGGTGTCAAAGTCACTGTCTTTTTTCGTTTTATGGTTTTTGTTCCTTTTTCTATTCTTTTCTGGTATTTGTTTTGCTTTTTGTCTTTTTGCTCGTGTTTTTGTCCCCCTAGTTGCCCCCTTTTACTCGGTTAGCTAAGCCTCGTTCGGAGAGCGTACCAGGAAGTTTTCTCGAGTTTTCTTAAAAAGCTATCACGGTACAACCGGAAGGTTTGCACGTTCCTGCCGAACCGTACCACCGGTACTCTAGAATGGGCATGCAGCCCGAAGCTGTCTCAAGTGGGTTCGACTCCGTAGTCTTGATGTCGTAAACACCCAGGAGCGCCATAAAAACACTATGTAACATTCGCCTACTGTAGTCACACATGAGCCTTAAGAAAAATAGGCCCTATAACCATTGGCTCAAGAGTCAGGGACACTATCTCTTGTGTTTTTCTACCTCAAATCAGTCGGAGCCAATTCGGTTCGCTTGTGACATGAGACTACGACCCGTTACAGCTTAAAGGCTACTACCAAAATATCCCCCCCCCACTCTAGAAATAAGAACGTCCCCATACTTAGGTCTCTAGATACCCAAAATACATGAACGCCGTTAAATACCGGGTCGGACCAATCCGTTAAGTTACTTTTTATTAGACAGTGGAACTTTGATCCATTTCAGATGGATCAACCTAAAACTCGCCTTACCTCAACATAACAATCATAAAACACACTCTAGAAATTTAAATTGGGTACTCACATCGTAGCACGCTCAAGAACTGGGAGTAATTAAGTTAGTAAACAACTTGAGAATTAAATAATGTAACTAAATGAGTTTAATGTTTGTTAGTTTCAATAACAGGAACAAGTTTGAACTCTAGAGTATAGTTTCTCGTGAACCATTGGGACACTCAAGCTGTCCACCTTTCCATCGAAGGTTCACTCTAGTCCAGTTTGAATGATAATCCAGTCGAGCAATAATAGTCCAATTCTCGGGAATACGCTTCCTTCTGTTTCAGATAGGACAGCTCTACTCTAGTTTTATTGTGACGGAAATTGCGATTGGCAATTTCCTACTGCTTTATCTGGCAACTTTCCCGCGATTGTTACTCGATTGTTCTGATTTCTTTTTTTTCGGTTTTCAGTTATCGCGAGAGAATCGTGCATGACAGGCTCCATTCGAATTTTTGAAAAATCAAATTTCACTCCAAAATTAAGCGTTCTTGTTTTTCTCAAGGTCAAACTTCCAAATATGACCAACTGGCACACAATTCGAATTTTTGAAAATTCCATTTCACCCCAAAATCATGTCTTTTGCGTTGCTCAAGGTCAAACTTCCAAATATGACCTGCTGGCACAATACGTAAGCTATGCAAAAATAGCAACCAAATCCAATCACCAACAACAACAACATAGTATACTTCTTTATTTCTGAAAAGAACTAAACTTGATTAAAGTTCATGAGTTTGTTTAGTGAGGAGATTATCATTGAAAGCAAAGGTAAGTCACAGGAGAACTTTACTCATAACTTTACTCATCGTAAACGCTGTGGACAAAATTATACGACCAACCATTTTTTATTCAAAAAATGTTATCTAGGATCGTAAAGCTAATGTTGTCTAAAAAAGATATGACCCAGAGAACTTGAAGGAAGCTGTTTTTGGCTGAAATTTTTTATTTAATAGTCTGATGTGCCTATAAATAGAGAAGAATAAGGCATTTCTACTTCGAGAATTGAGTTTGGTGCTAAGTAGATTAGATTCAAAAAACCATCGATAATTACGTTTTCTGATAATTACGATAAGCTAATTAGACGGATGCTACAAAAACGAAATTAGACGGTTTTTTTTACAGATCTGGCTTTTAGACGTCGCTGCTATAAAAAGGAAAGGGCCAACAAAGTTTTTTCTTAAAAGTCAAGTTTCGGAAATACGAAAAGAACATAAAATGACCATACCTATCAAAACAATTAGTTTAAAAGAACATAAAATATCAAATCCGAGTATTACAGAAGAGTTTTGAATTGAATAAATTATGCATAATTGACATGTAAAATTTACGATCATTTTTTAAAACAAACTTCGGCAAATAACGCCTATATTGCTCCAATAAATGTCCAAACTGATATTTTCCTCATAATTGTTTTTCATCGCTGGATTTTGGCTTTAAGCAAACGCCACTTTTTTCCTGTGGTGGTGGAGGTTCACCTTTCGAAAATTTTGAGCATACATTTTTTGTGATTTTTTCCTGTTTTTTCAATTCTTCGACAACTACCCATAAAGATGGGTGGTTTCTTCCAATTTTTCTGTTCCAGGAAGCATGCCATGATTCGCAGGCGTTTGTTGTTCGGAGATTTTGTGGTCTATCATAAACGTTCCACATAAAAACTCCAGTTTTTTGGATCCAAGCTTTTTCGACATAGTTGACCAAATCTTCGATTTTTGGGAAGAAAATTTTCAGTCTTCGGCATAAAACAGATTGTTTTAAATTGCCAAAATTTTGTAATCACATGGTCGATTGGCAAAAATCATAGACTGAAAATTTTGCGATAAAGTAACTGAAATGGACGATTATTGCTGTAGGCAATAATAAGACCAAAATTCTGAATTTTTCGGAAAACTGCTTGAGTATAATGAAAATAACAGCCCAAATGATCGACTTGTGGCATCAATTTTTTCACGGTGGCGATGAAACCCGTCTCGTAATCGGATATAATAAAACTTGGTTCAAACGGTTTTGGTGCAGTCTTGAAGGTTCCGTCACACAAAGTTTTTTTGGCTATTTTGCAAAAATTGCAGGTTTTTTAGCGAACAAAAAATCACTTATCCGACATCTTGATGTAACACAAAATCTTGGTTGTCGCTCGTTTTACTCCACATACCATCTATTTTCTCATTCTGTAAAGTTCTGGGAGTTTTTGGCAAAATTCGATTTCGTTTTTTATAGTAGCCCGCTGCTAAGTTTGTGATACTCCGGTAGATTTTCGATTTCCGAATTCAGTTTAACTTGCTCGTCGTATATCATTTTCACCGGTTTTGTCGGATCATTTTGGATTTCGCTCAGAATTTTTTGGCGAAAATTTTCTTCCTCGTTGTACATAAGGTCGGGTTCGTGACTGTGGTTGCCTGATTTTCGAATAATTTTTGTAATTTCCAAATTTGTCATTCATCTTCTGAAGCAATTGGAGATAACACAGCGATAATGACATTCAAATTTGGTTTTGCTATCTTTTTTTAAGTCTATAACCTTCATCGGTAATAAGATTTTGTCCACCTCGATATTTCGACGGAACTACTTTGAAATTTTGCATTTTTGGCTACCGAAATTCAACTGTCTGCAAACAACATTATTTTTCTCACGCAGTTTGTCTGCAAACAGTTTTAATCTCTCTCACTTTCGTCTATTTTCTCACAATTGCAGTTTTACAAAACCGTCTAATTTCGTTTTAAGTGCCTCCGTCTAATTTGCTTATCGTCTAATCTCTCAACCCCCGTTTTTCTGTAATTAATAACATTTTACTTTAATGCATTGGTATCAATATTTTGCGCATTTATGAAATTTACATCTTTTTCTTTCTAACACTCTTTGCACATTAACATCATGTTATTTAACTCATGACAATTTCATTTCATGACAAATTAACTCTCTTTGTAATATTTAGCACCAAACTCAATTCTCAGAGTTAATTTGTCATGGAATGAAATTGTTAAGAGTTAAATAACCTGGTGTTAATTACAGAAAAACGTAATTGTCGATGGTTTTTTGTATATTCTACTTTTTTGTAATGATTTTCGTTTTTGTTATTACCATTTTCGTGTTGATTTCCTCTAAGGCCAGGGCTAGGTTCTGAATAAAATCTGCTTCGGCTCATTAAAGTTTTTTTTTGTCGAAAGAAAGTATAGATTTGTTCTTGTTCCGACTTTCGAAGAAAACGAATCTTTATGCTCGGTGTGGTTTTTTATTCAGTCAATTTTTGCCGATCGAAATAATAGTTTTCGACAAAAAATTTTAATACCCCATTGGAGATATCGACTTCCTGAGTTCAAATGTAAAAAAATAACTTACCTCCGATTATTTTTTGTAAAATTCTGGGAGTTTGAAAATTGCCAAATTTGCCATGGTCTGGACTAAATTATTCGCGCTTTGAAAAATTTATTCACATTGCTGAGGGAGTAACGCAAAGTATTTATGCGTGGCAAATTATTCCGCATAACAAAATCGTTCCAAATTGAATTGAGGCTAGCTAATTGGTCGTATTAATTTCGTACGAATCTAAATTTTACATTTTGATTTTGTCCAAAATTACAGGTTTTCAATATTTTCTTTTCCCAAAAAGTGTTCGCTATGAATTAAGGGAACAGTATTGTTAACTTTAAAATCATTTGGTCTGAAGGAGTTAAGGGGAGCTCGGATTTCAAAATGGGTGTTGCATACAGTTTGTAAACCGCCCTTTTGCTAGGTTCTAAAGGATTGCAGAAATTTCTTAACTAATTAGTGCCTAGGAATGAACACTTCCGGTGACCGATCATTTACCGAACCAATCTTTTAGCATTAAAAGTGAAAAATGTGTCTTTTATCAGACCAACGTAAAAAAAGATGGATTTTTGATTGACAGACTCAAAAAGACGCTCAGTCTGGGGCCAAGCTTCCCCAATTAAGACAATTTTCTCACGATTTGTCAACAAAACTATCAACTTCAAAAACACAACTGTCTAAATTACTTGCAAAATAAAGATTTACGCGCACAATAACACTTGTGTTGAATTGGAGGGCAGCCGAGCAAGCGGTCGCTAGTCGCCAATGCCGCGTTTGAAATTAGCTATCTGACTTTATAATTGTTCTGAGTCTGTTAAAAATTGGTCTGCTAAAAAACTATTCTGCTAAAATCCCGAGCACCAAAACTGCCAATTAGCAATGACTCTAGGACAACTGTGTTAATTTTTTTAACCGAACTTTTACGATGTCAAACCGAACTGCTACGATGTTTTTTTAAATAACCTCACAAGAAATAAAATCTGTTGTCTTCAAACCTTTTTTAAGTGGTGTTTGTGATGTTTTTTTAAGAACTGACTATCCAGAATTTGGCACGTCAACGTTTCCGCAAGTAAATATGATGGCATCGTTGTTTAAAATATGATGGCATTGGTTCAAATATCTGACAGCTTTCTAGTTTTTATTTCAAATATACTAAGACATTTAAGACATATTTGTGAAGTAAGTTTTGTTTGAATTTTGTAAAACATAACATTGTTAACCATAATATTGTGTTCTTTGGAGCTCACTATTGTTAAACATCTATTTTGTGTACAATACAAAATCTAAGAATTTTAAAATGTTCCCGTTTGCTCGAAAGCGAAAAGAGCGGAAAAAATACCAAACAGAGGTCGGAATATCTTATAATAACGAAAGCGACAAAGTTGCGGCCGATGCTGAGCCTGAGCGGGATCAAAATCCAAATCCTGACAATAATAAGGTGGAATTGGAGCAGAAAATTGAGACCGATAGTGAACAAAATGAACTAACGGTATCTGGGAAAGTGAAAAGTCTGCGTGAAAGGTTCGCGTCCATGAGTGAAACTAGGCTCGCTGATTTGACAGAACTTCGGAGGAGTCTACAGCTCTCGCAGTCCGAAAACCCGTCAGAGTTCATTAATAAAGGTGAGCTTTTTGCTTCTCATGAATTAACATACTATAAACCCGAATACCATAAAGTACTTTCCATGTCAAAAAACTTAATGTTTGTCCATGTTCAAACAGGTATAGTGAAAAGCAAAGCAGAGGAATTTAAGAAGAGAACTCTCATCAAGTCAGTGACGGACAAGCCTCCAGACAAGCACAAAACCGGACTGGAGAGTTCTGGACTTCACGGCAGATCTAACTCGGATGGCACTATCAATGCACTGCCTGTAGACGTTATATACAAGGACCAAGATCTCGACACTTGGGATGTGAGTAGTTTCATAAAAGGTCTACAATACCACGTGAAAGCTCTAGACACAAAAAAAAGACCTTGAGTCGCAAAAAAAGGGCTTCGCTCAACTAAATAACTCAGTAAAGAGTGTTGGGAAATATGAGAAACTGACTATGCCTATGCTTGGACAGGCTAGATAGTCTTTCATAGATCCTCTGCGAATTGAAGAAACCTTGATTACCTTCAAATAAGCACGTAGATTTTAAATGTTTAGAACGTAGCGGCTCTAAAATTTTCTTAAGGGTGGCTGATTTTAGGGGGGAGCATGCGCCGAAACATAAAACGCACAATTTTTTTTATCGAAACCTTCAAAAAAGTGCTTCTGAGTGCATTTTGCCACATTTTCGAAATAATTCGCTTGCGTCGCAGAATTTTGGCCAAATGGTGTCTTAATAGGGTTTTTGTTTCTAGAGAGTTCTGAAAATCAATTTTCTTCTGCTTTCTAAATTTGGTCCATTTTGGTCTATGGAAGGTCAGGTATTCTATAATTAAGCAATTCCGGTTTCTTGACTGAGTGAATTGGTCGCCCTGATTTATTCGAAACTATGAGCCCCATAGAACGCCATTCATTTTTTCAAAATTGTGAGCATACATGACAAGACCGCAAGTAAAATAATTGTAGATATAGACGCGTATAAAGCTTTAACAATTATATCCAGGTGATAGATGTGCGCGATGATGATGAGCTACGTGAAGTGCAGAAGAGTCTGGACAAGATGCCAAAAATGTCGAGGGAAAGATCAACTTCGATTATGAAACAAACAGGTCTCTATCAGGACTTCCCGAAGCCAAACGTGGCGGCCCCAGAAGAGCACGAGAACAGTCGCTCGATGAATTCGCAGCACTCGTTGTCTTCTTCATCAGCGAACAGCTCAGCTTCATTTTCAAACTCTTCGTCGCTCTCAACGTCATCTGCCGAAACACGTAAGCAACACAATTAACAAAGACTGATATTATTTTTGTTGTTCCATTATATAAATTCAGAGGAATTTTGTTCCGATTTGCCTTCTAAGTTTAGTTTTTTAATCTGCCCGAGAAGTTATGAATGGTTTTGACTGAACGTTGGTTTCTTGTGCGACTGCAAATCTTTATTTTTTATGGTTTCATGAACAGTTTGATGGAAGTAGGTTTTTTTTCTTGTTTTTATACGAATTTATTTGTTAGTTGATTTTATTTATTTATTGACTTTCTGCTATTTCAGGCAAGAAATCAGAAGCTACTAGTGAATATGCTCTTCAAGCCATCCCCGAGGAGTCCTTCAATGCATCACTCCCAACTCCGAAGGACACTCCGAGCGAAATTATCAGACGGCCTCGCAGAGAAGGGCTCTGGCAGCACCAGCAAAATGTCATTGACAGCGGAATCTTAGAGAAACTTTCATCATCTGAAATTAAATTACAGGAGGCTTTGTTTGAAATGATTACTTCCGAAGAATCCAATCTGAAAAGCCTCGAGATCCTGGTGAAGCATTTCAAGGCCGCGTTTGAAGAAAACTCTGACGATCCGAAGCTTAGAGTTCGTAAAGTGTCAAGCAACGACGTTGAGGTGGATTCTACAAAACGTAAGTGTTATGACCATAATAGACGCAAGGAAAATATAATTAAAAAAGCGATGCTATCCACATATTTAAAACAGTTGACTGGTGACAAAGGTTGATTACAGGTTTATTGGACTGGAAATTACTACCTCTATACTTTCAACTAAAAAAACCCAATTTTACAGTAAGGGCAGAATGTTTGACTGGTTGACTGTTTTTGTTCTAGAGAAACAATCTACAAAAAAGCAATCACTCGGAAAATACGAAGCGAATAAATTGTTTTTCAATGTTGAGATGATAAAAGAGTGCTCGGAGAAGTTTCTGGCCAAGGTCGAAGAAATGCAAAAAGAAGAAGTGATAATTGTTAATTTTCTTGACATGGTAAGCGAAAATGCGGGTGCGTTATTTGGAAAGGCAGTGGTGAAATATTGCAAAAACATGAATCATCAAAATGAAATTCTGAAGCACTTGTTGGAAAATGAGATCTGGTTCGCAGCCAAAACACGACAGCTGGAGAAAGATCCCATCTTAAATGACAAGACTTTCAAGTCATTTCTTGTTGTGCCACTCAGTAGGATTTGCCACATACCGCTCTTGCTGGAAAAGATTGTGAAAGTGAGCAAACACCTGACAGATGATTATTCCGGTAAGATTTTAAATTTTAAGGCTACAAGGAAAAATTTTAAGGATACAATTTGATTACGTAAAGATCATCGCGCTGATATGATAATCCTTTCAATCAATCATTCATGGTGAGAAGCTCGCCATAATAAGCTCCGCTTTGGCGACAAGTATTATTTTAGAAGCAAGTTTAACTGGACTCGGTTCACTGATTCAAGTTGTTTTTATTTTAGCTTATAAATTAGACAAACTTGAATAGCGAGAATAAAGTTCAAAAGAGAAAAAGCTCGAGCTTTTGTCGACAATAGGGTTGAAATTTAGAAAACTCTACATGAAAATTTAAACTCGGTTTTTCAATGAGCTATTTCCAGTTGTCTGCTTTAGTTGAGATTCAAAAGTCGGCGGTTCAAGCTCTGGCGTTGATGAAAGGAATCGCACAGCAGTGTAACAAAGAAACTCAGCAACTGGACGATCTAGCAGAGCAACAGAATATGCTCATCAGTATCCAGGGCAAACTAGTCTTCAAAGAAATCAAGATGATTTCCCTCGTTACCCAGTCCAGAAGATTCTACTTCGAATCCAGTGTGATACATGTAACGCCTACCAAAGGACGATCGCTGTTCAAAAACGTAGAGACAAATTTATACCTATTTCTGTTCACGGATATGATTATAATCACAAAGCCTGTTCAGAATAATTACGAGGTTTTAGATATTGCGGAGGTTAATGAAACTCACGTGCAAGAAAAGACGGAAGAAAAAGCGGAGAGTTTCAAGCATCTAAGCTCTTCTCACAACGCCAAAGGACCAATTTGTCTAGTCTTTTTCAGAACTAAACTGGGCAGTAGTGGGGGGTTTAAAAAGAGTTCATATGATGTGAGAATGAACCCAAATTGCTTCCAGGATCATGCTCAGTTTTTTATATTTCCGACCATTGCGACCAAAGAACAGTTCTTAAAGAAATTGAAAGAGGCTCAAGTGCAGTTTCAGAAAATGAAATCAGAAGAAGCATCGAATGAAACAAATTTTGCAGTTCGTGCTTCAGTAGTTAGAAGACAAAGTACCAAGGCTCAATCCAATGTAGATAGACGCAAATCTTCCTACGAAACAAATCGCATGCTGAGAAACGCAACATCAAGTGAGGATTTTTCAGTTGATGAAAAGAAGTTGGCGCTATCTGATGACGGTGACCAAAACGAAGCGAAGATGGTGACTAAAACAAGCAACTTGGCATTCACTCCGTTGCTTAATTTGAAGAGATACAACTCTTCAATTCAGTTAAGTAACAGTAACCAGCTTAGCTGCTCGAGCGACGAAGAAGAGGAATCTGAAATTCGGCCGAGGACAACAACTAATACCCCAATTGGGTGTCTGGATGATGATGAGGGTGAGTATTTGAGTGGTGATGACCCCCAAATGTTTTCAGACGCATCGCATCACTCTCACGATACAGATGAGGAAAGTCACTCAGTGGACGCCGAATCAGATTCCTGTGACCTGTAAATTTGAACCTAATTAACATTCCCCATATAGTTCCTCTTTAGATTAATCAGTTGATTATATTTTTGGAAACTGTTGAATTTTGTTTTTACCCATATAATCTATCGATCATTATCAATAAATTTTTAATTTTGTTTTCATTCGTAAATCTATGAGCCATTTTTGTTCCAACCATTAAAAATGGGGAGGAACTTTGTATTCGGGTCTGTTTTTGTTTTTTTTTTTGTTTTCCACGCAAAATCAGGTACGACAAATAATGATCGGACTGGGTTGACTGATATGTCATATTAAAGCCCTTACAGTCGTGATATGAAGCACATAAATTTTCGGTTTTTCGTCTTATTTCGAGCGAATAAAGCGAGCGAGCAATCTTATTTAAATTGTTTGGAAGCTTACAATAGCTCAATTTAAAACTTAAAAACTTAGTTTTACTTGGGTACGATTCGTTTATTTTGAGTGTTTAAGCGCTTTTTTGAATCAAAATTTTCAAAAACTGCAAAAAAAACTTTCGATTTTTTTTTATTTTAGTTTTTCTTGCAATTTTTGTACAACAATTGTTTCTCAATTTGCTTATTTTAGCATGGCTGTCGAATAAACTAATCCCCGTTTTTTGTTCAGCTCCTTTCATCACACCATGGCGAAAGAAAACTTTGTTATGTTTTTCTAAGACTATGGTCGGAACATTCTGTGCTACTTGCACAGTAACCGGCTATCCTTTTTCATTTTATATTGTTAGTTGTCGCCATTAGTTAGTTAGCATTATTTAAAAAGAAGCATCTTAGCGGTTTTCAGAGTTTTTCAGTGGGTTTTCGCAGAACTAACTTTTCTAACGTGCGCGATATCCTCAATTTACTTTTCTTGGACAGAGACAACTTGTAAATTCACTCTAGAAGTTTTATTGCTTGAAAATGAAAAATGCATTTTTTCCGAACATGCTGATAAGTTGCACTCACGCTTTCTCCTCTTAGTTGTCGCCATTTTTTCTCAGTTTTTCTGCTAGTCTTTTCTCTCGTTTTTGTTTATAAGGTTTTTGTGGTTCCGCATTCCTCAGTAATTTTCTGATGTTTTTAAAGACTCGATTAACGTAGTGTAGATTTCTATATAGGTCGCGATAATTTTTGATCTGTATTATATTGCGATAAGCAAGGTAATTGCAACCGGGTACAAGTTTTTTTCCCGTAAATAACTTGTGTCACAGAGTGGTAAATATTTTGAAATGGTAAATTTGCAAATATGCAGCTTATGGAGCGTACTTGTTTTTGCTTGTATAGGGCTTGCATTTAAGCGGGTAGATGCAAATGTTTTTTTGATTTTTTTTGCTGACAATATTTTAGCTGTTTTTCAGTTTATTACGCTTGCGATTAGCAAGCGTTATCAAACTGGAGTATGGACTTTTTTCGGGTTAACAACTTGTTTAACGGAATCATTTGAATCACTTGTATCTTGGTTCATGATGAGTTCAAACTTCTTTGCAATCCCAGCCAACTTAGCCTTGAGGCAACGAATTTGCCTTGAACGGCAAAGGTCCTGGGTTCGAATCTGACCAGGATCTATTTTTTTTCAAACGGGAAGTTTTCTGTTGGATTAGTTGTTATCGGCTTAGTTGTCATATCTTGAAATTGTTTTTTTTTTGCTGCGCACATTTTACTCTAGCATAGCATGTGTTGTAATATGAACATGTGTTGTCTTTTTTTTCCATTTTAAGTCGCAAATATTGTTGCCATAAAATGTGCTCATTTTCAAAGGGTTCATTTTGATCAATACCAGCTCTTAAGTCAACCAATGCTAAGGATATGAACAACGACTATTATTCTTCCGACTTTCGTAACGGAATGTTTGTGCTCGGGGTGGTTTTTTTCTTCAGACAAATTTCGAATTTTTAACGAGCCATTTTTGACGGAATTTTTTTCTATATCATCAAAAAGTATGGTTGTTCTGGGCTTCAATTTGAAAAGGTGTTTCACCTGTGATCATTTTTCGTAAAGTTATGGGGGTTTAAAAATTGTCAATTCGGTCAAATTAAAGCGCGATCTATTTCGCGCTATTAACGCGTAAGCGGAGATTTAATCCGTATTGGAAATTGTTTCAATTTGGTTTGAAAGCAGCCTATTTGCCATAATTGGTTTGTTACTAGGAGAGAAATTTATCACTTTGTAGTTTAGATGGCGTGGGGGGGGGGGGGGGGCTGGTGATTTTCAAAAATCTCAAATACAAAAAAAAATATTTCAATTAAAATTTAATTTATTCATGTTACTAATGCTCAACAGACATTAAAAGGCAGTCAGATCCTTCAGGGGTTTGCCCTGATACAAGAAGTTTTTTATTACAAAATTTTGCTTAAAGGTATGGAGTTTCAAAAAAAGGGTATCAATTGAAAGACTGCCCAATCCCCTGTGTGCTTGCATACTCCCCTAGAGTCTTTTTGTACTTGACCCCCTTCGAAAACGTGTGGGGGATTACTCGACCCATGTTTTTGATTTTTGTTTTCTCGATAACTACCCCTCTCAAATCTAAGTTTTTGGTTTCAACGAATAAAACGGTTACAAAAGCTCCCCTGCATCAGCGGCTCCACCCAGTTTTTCTTACACAAAAAGTTATCGCTCTCGGAAAAGTAAAGTTTTTTTTTTGACCCTTTTTCAAACTTTTTGAGTATTCTCGAAAACTTCCCTGCCATATCTGAGATTTTGGGTTCAGTTCAAAAAAACTTCTTGGGAAGCTCATTTGCTTATTGGACTACGTCCCAATTGTTCTGACATCAAAAGTTATGGCCCCCAGAATTTTTTATATTTTACCGTTTTTGAAAGTTTTTTTTTGTTTTGTTTTCTCGAACTACCCTCCCAAATCTGACATTTTGGGTTCAATCGAAACTTAAGGTTGCGTAAATTTCCTCTGAATAAATGGCTAAGCCCTATTTTTTCACACATAAAGCTATGATTCTCGGAAATGTCAAAATTTGACCGTTTTATGGACTTTACTCCGTTTTGTTGACCGTTTTTTGGGCTTTTCTCGCTAGCTATCCTGCCAAATCTGAAATCATTGGTTTAATTGAAACAACAGGTGGTTGAAAGCCTACGTTTATAAGTGGCTATGCTCAGTTTGTTTAAGAAAAAAGTTATGGCCTTCAAACAAATCAAAGTTTTGAAACTTTGACAGTGTTTTGGAAACTTTTTGACTTTAAGCAAAAACTACCGTGCCAATTTGTTCGATGGAGAAACCTGGTTTTTGAGAATCTTTTCTGCATAAGCGGCCATAACCTGCTTTTTTCCAGAAACTTGTTATGGATTTTGGAAAGATTTTTAACTGTTTTCTAGAACTTCAAATCGGAGATGAAAAATTCAGTTAAAAAAACCGGTTGCGATAATTATCCCAGGAAGCGGCGACTTATATAATTTTTTGTAAGAGAAATGTTATATCCTTGGGAAAATTGATTATCTCAAAATTTGTATAGAAACAACTTATGTTGTGGGCAAAGTCCAATTTTTGAAAATATATTATTCGTGCGGCATGAGTATAGCAAATTCATTCAATATCAAGCAGGTACATCCAGCTTTAGCTGGGCCCTAGATGTTTTGTTATCGAGACGGTGTTTTTGTTATAGTTTTTTTTCGGTTTTTTTTATGTTTGTGTTGTAATCGAAAGTGGTGCGAAGCTCAGCTTCGCCGGTGTTGAGTGTCGGCTTTAATTCTGTCGTCGTATTTGCCTACCGTTTTTTAAAGTTTGTTTCCAGTCGTTTTTTTTTCATTGCGATAAGCAAGGGTATTGCAATCGGGTACTAGACTTTTTGTTTCATTCATCCACTAGGCCTTTCTCTGCAACAAAGATATTTTAAGCTTGTTAGCATTTCAAATATACGGCCCATTCGAAATTTATTTTTATATTGTTGTAACTTTACCAGCTCGCTTTGTTAAATTTTCAAATTTCCTTTTGTTTTTTCTCGGTTCAATAGGCTTTGGCAAATTTTATTTTGGCTTAGTGACCCCATATTGCATATTACTTTAAATTGTTTTTACTCATATTTTGCTTGTTATTTTCTTAATTTTTTTGTTTCAAAATAACAAGTTTGATTTGTTTGCACTATTTGTTTCTAGTACACTTAATGTTTTTTCTCCTTCGGTAAATTATTTGATGACAGCGAAAAAAAAATCAAATGGACGAAAGTTTTTTCGCCAGAATTTTTCTTTTGGATAATTTTTTCGCCTTAGTTTGTTTGGACTTAATTCATAGAAACTTCTCGTCCTTATTCTTTGTGATATCTTAGAATATCTTCTTTGTGATATCTTAGAGCTAATTGATTCAAATTAATGGCACACCGAATTTTTGACACAAAAAAATCATCAAGATTTTCTGCTTTTTAAAATCCCACGTTTGGTTTTTTTTGGACCATTTCTTCACCGCTCGCTAATTTTTTATGCTAGTTCATTGCTGATTGTTGTTTTCTGCCACAGGTTTTCAGATGATGGAATTGAATTTTCAGACTTTGCACCTATTGATCCAGTTTTCTCAAATTGGGTAAATTTTATGCTAAGGCTCTATTGTTCTAGAAGTTCAAAGAGCTCTAAGGGCATCTATTTTTTTTTCGAAATTCGGATGTGGAGATTTTTTCAAAAAAATAAGTCTGTTTTTTTAGTTTAATTGCGTTTATCTACTTTTTTCCAACTGTCTGTTGGCTATGTTTAAGGTTTGTTTCAAATTCTTTAGAACAACATATTTTTTGTTGAGCTTTCAACTCAACTGCCATACCGCTGAAGGTTACGGGTCATATTTTGTTCATTTAAATTTCACAGTTTTGCAACAAGCGAGCTTAGTTTTATATTGCGAATAGTCTTCTTTCTAACCAAACTCTCATAAATTAGTGCTCACGTGTTAGTGGCAATTTTGGTGTATGCACAAAATAACAACTTAATTGCTTGTGTTCTTTCTATCCGATTGCTTGTGTTGAGAAGCCTCAAGAGCATGTTGCTGAGTGGCCTGGTCATGAGACTCTTAATTGGAAGTTCTCCCATTCGTTCTCCGTTTCTTTTTTTTAAAGCGTATTTAAATTGAAACAAGACTGCTCGTATATCAGGACAAAGCCCTGAAGGTTCCGACTGCCCTCTAATTCATATCGATTAGTTTTTGGGAAAAGAATATTTTGAAAACTATCATTTTTGGACAATATCAAAGATCAAGTGTGAAATTTCAATTTAAAAAATTAATACGACGAATTAGCTAGCTTCAATTCAATTAAATAATTCGCGTTTCAGCATTATGAATAAAATCTTCAAATAGGTGCGGTCAAAAAATTGTCTTTGCACTGAATATTCTCGAGTTTTCGTGATCTAGTGCTAGAACTAATGCGAATAAAAATTATTTTTCATCGTATTTGGTAGATCGAAATAGAACCATTAGCTGTTGCCTAAAATGAATCCATTTATTGTTTCGTGCCCATTAAACAAAGCTGACTCAATGATATTGGAATCGAAATTTTTTTGGTCGTATCCCCAAATTTCCGCGGCCAGTTTTGCGTTTTAGAGGTCGTTGCTGTTTTAATTGATCACTGAATGACAAAATGTTTCTCCAGGCGGCTCTATAGATGTTATGGTTCTTTTTAAAGCCTAATCTAAGTTATGGGCATCAAATTCTACCCCTGATGTCTATCGTTGATGCTTCAGTTGACTTGGTACCTTTTTTAAGCTCTGCGATAATAAGGGTATTGCAATCGGTACTAGACTTCTGTTTTCCCGTAAATAACTTAGTTCACAGAATGGTCAAAATTAGAAATGGAAAATTTGGGTTCAGTTGAGATTGAATTCATACTTCTTTGCGCCTCCGGCTCACTTGGCCTAGAGGTGGCGATTACGCTCGGGACGGTAATGGTCCATGGTTTGAATTTGGTAGGACCTTTTTCAAACGGGAATTTTTCCGTTTCAAAAAAATTGTCGGTTGATTATTTCTCTCCTTATGTTCGCTTTGTTGGCGCATCGTATAAATGTTTTTTTTTTGCTATCGAAAAAACTAGTGCGCTTTTTTAAAGCAATTTGTGCGCTTTTCACATTTTAGTTGCGTTTAGTGTTTTGATGTACTTCTGCTGTTTACAATTTCTTGACTTTTTCCGGCGTATACTTCTTTTTGTTTTTTGTTCCGCTTAAAGTCTTTATTCTGTCCAATCGATTTCGACTTATTTTATCGGCTTAGTGATCTAATTTTGGGTCGTTTCAAGGTAAACCTAATTTTTATGCTCACTGGATTGCTCAAGTTGCTGAGAAAAAAATTTAAAGAGAAATAGTTGCTCCAGTTAACATGTTTTTGGCTTTTTTCTCTCGGCTTGATTGGTTGCGGGCCCAAAATCTATCAGATTATTGGCTTTATATTGCGTCTTCCGACTATCGAAAAATTTTGAAGGTGCGAAAAGTTTTGAGGGGGAGGGGGAATTGTTAACTTTTTTAAAGTCTTAAGTCCTGTTTATGTTTTTCGGCTTAAAGGGTTTTTGCTAAGATATTTTTGAATTTTTTACCGCTTGGTAATTTTTCTTCCGATTCAACTTCCGCATTCTTTTGTCCTGAAATCTTTTTCCTTCAAAACTTGCCGAATTCATTTGGATTCCGACTTAGCGGCTTTCTGGTTTTGTATTGCAAATGGTCCGAAGTGCAGCTTCGCCTCTGTGTCTCAGGTTCTGTTCTAGTTCATTGGCAAACTGGATGAAAATTCAAACAATTCTCCAATAACAAAAAAGCGAATGGGGCTGAAAATGGAGATTGAATTATTTTCGTAAGGGGATTGATTATACTTAGAGTTTCAAATGTCTAGTTAATTCTATGAAAATTGAATTTTTTAAAAGGGTAATAAATTATGATTTTTACCCGTTTATTCATAATATAATGAAAATTGAAATTTTTCGAAAAATTGAAACAAATTATGATTTTTTACCCGGTTTCCTTCCTCATTAACACTTTCCAACTGCCTGTTCACAGTGTTTTGTTAAAATACTGGGGAATATTAATATATAGTCGTAAACAAGAATTATTGTGTTGAGATTGCGACTTTGAATCGCCAATAACCATTAGATTTCGTTGATTGAGCATTGCTATCTTCTTGATTAAATTTATAATGTTTCTTTTTTAGTTGACATGGTTGCTATAAATAGGGGGATGCATTCTAAAATACCACACTGATCCAAAACATGGTACTAGCAAGCTGTTACACCATGAAACCTATGATTTTATAAACCTGTCTCTGATGATGTCAAGTTATCGGGATAGGTTTTATGCCATAGATATATCTGCAAATTTTGAATTCTATTTAATGATTTTCTCTGAGATTTTTTTTGATTTGACACAGAAAATTATTTTTGCGGATAAAAAGTGTATTCCTTGACTTTTAATTGACTTTGCTAAATATCAGTTCTGCTAAAATTCTCGGCGATTTTTGTCTTGATCATTTTTTGTCTTAATTCAACCCAAATTGAGAAATACTAAAATATCAAGTTTTATTTGTTTTGACCGGATAATTTAAATCAGCACTGTAGTTAGTTGAACAATATGCGAAAGCTGACAAAATAAACATTATTAAGAATTTGTTAAAAATTTTGCCTGACTCGAATCGAGTAAAACCTATCAGACGTTTCTACCTGGAGTTTGATATTTCATAAACGGTTTTCCCCCTCTTATCCAGCTGAGTTAATTTGCAGCGCAAAACTTTAAAAAAGTCATCGGAATAAAGTCACGTGAATCCAAATTTTTAGAACCATTTCCAGTAGACGTGCTCGTAACAACTAGCGTGCTGAGGGGTATTGGCCATTCTGGTAGCCAACTTTTTTCAAAGAGTTCCCCTTTAGTTCCACTTTACGACGTACGGCATTTATTTTTGGTTGAATTCTTGTTGCTCACTCAATTTTGGGTGTCAATTTTTTCCAAAGGGTCCCCGTTTTGATACTTAACGACATTCATTTTTTGGTTAACCAACTCTATAATTTTTCTAAAAGAGCTTTTGGCGCCAATATGCACTAAATTTGAGGGAAAGAGCGCGCAGAAAAATCAATTTGGTTGACCTAAAAAAGTCGACACAAATTTTGAGAAACCACTCCTCTCAAAAAATTCTTGCGAGCGCCACTTATTTTGTTTAGATGTTAGTTTCATCTAATCAGATTTTTTTTTTCAGGTGAGATTATGAAAAGCTGAATTCGCTTATCTACAATGATAAGTTGACTTGTTGAGAGCCGACGTTCAATATCGGAATAAAGGTGGAACAATTCTATTCTTTCATGATTGGACACGATTGAGTCAGATTCAAATCGGAATGACCAAAATAGAAATTAATCATCGTCTCGATTTACATTGGAAGAATTAAGTTGTTTTACTGAAACGACGAATAGCTAATTCTTTATATATATATTGCATCTAACCATTGGCAAACAATACTTTTGATATATGCAGTTCTTGAATCAGACGGTCGTTGGTAAGAACTATTTGATAGTCCATTCTGCTCTGATAAATACAGAAGATGTGTGAGAAATTTTTTATATCCTTGTACGTCTTTGTCGCTTTGACTGCAAGTTTAAGGTGAGCACAATTTCTTTGACGAAAATTTAAGTGAGATACGACCCTCGTATTTTTTTTCTGGCGATAAATTGTTTTTTTTTTTTTCATAAGAGATATTTCTAAGTAAATAAAAATAGAAAAATATCTTTTTAAACAATGTCAAAAAAGTTAGCTTAGGAGTCTTTTTAATCTCAATTTATTTAATCAACTTATAACAAATCGGTAGTGTTAAAATTTATCAAAAGGCTTGTTGGTTGGAAACGGTATTTGTTCCAACCACCCGCTAGGATTCAAGGAACTATGGTGATATGGAGTCTTGATTTGGATTGAGAAAAGATCTTTTTGAAAAATTATGCCTGTGTTGTGATAAACATGTTTAATTTTTTGAGATTCGGGTTCAATTTAATCAAAAACAGTTTAAAAGAGCAGAAGGGATGATTGCAAAATATTTCTGAACCGGATTAGGATATTTTCACCTAATTTTTCAAGTTTAGCTTTAATTCACACTCGCTTGCTAGCCACTAAAATTTAACGAAAAAAAAAAGTTTTTTTTTCTTAAGTATCTGATTTGCAATGGTTTCTGTGGTTGCGGTAGCGTTCTGTCCAGCTCTCTTATTTTATTTAGAGCTCGTACAACAATGGAGGAGAAATATTCGCACTGGTACCAAATGGCTTACCCCACGTCGGAGAAAGTAAACACAACCCAACATGTTCGATTCTTCAAAAACAATCTGCTTATGTGGAAATGGAGCGGTCGTGTAGACGATCCCGCAAATTATGATCCACAATTCGACATCCACAATCGAGTATGCTCAACTGATGCTATTACTTTAGAGCCGCAACCTCGACTGAATTACATAATCAACGAAGCGTATTTGAAGAATGTGAACTTACAAAATGAAACGGACTTAAAAGTGCATAGGTATAACCAGACAACAACTTGGATGCATTCAAGATTTTACACCGGCGAGTGTGCAAAAAGGTCGTACAACAACACTCCGGGGGAAAATTTGACATTCAAAACGCAAAAAGGCTTTTCAGATGACTTTTTTGACGTTAACAACTGGGTTCTATGCTCAGAAAGAGAGTTCTGTAACGAAGCGCTATCCAATGAGGCTGGGTTGAGTGCTATGTCGAACCACAAGTTCTTCGATTTTCCGCTGGACGGTCAACGAATTCCAGCGTCAACGTCTCAATTTTTGGTCGCCGATACCTTCGATGGGCCAGATATGTCCACGTTGAAAGAAGTCTTGCATGAACAGCCAGAAGTTATCAATGTTTCCGCTTTGGAATTCAGCGACCACTACCGGGCAAGGTAAGCGTCCTGTTATTCACTCTACATATTTTTTGGCTTATCATTTCAATTGCATGCATATAACGATTAAGGACTATTTTCGTTTTCCATTTGGATGGACTTGAATGTTAAGCATATTTATGTCAGAATTGTAATTTCTTTCAAAAAAATCTTCCGCCATAGATAAAAATTGGTTAAGATTTTTTTTTGCTTAATATGCCGATTTCACATTTTCAAAATAAACCTACGTCATTTGGGACAGTTTAATGTCAGATTACTTTTCTACTTCCGAATTTTTTAAGCATGCGATATATTAGAGTATGTTTTGACGCCTGAATTCATTGTTGAAGGCAGGCAACTTGACGCAATAGTTAAGGCAAATTGCCTTTAATCCCGAGATTGTGAGAGGGACTCAGGATGGTGCCAGATTTTTCTATTTTGGTAAGTCTGTGTTGATCGTCTCTTGCATATGATCGATCGATAATCGGTTGCAAACTGCTCGTATGTCCATTTTTTTCTCTGAGTTTTTTTTCAAGAGAGTTGTTGGATTTTCCGTGTGCTTTGAAAACCAAATTTCCTTTGTTTTCGAACAACTTATTGGAAGCAATAGAACTGGTTTTTGGGCCTCCAATTTCTGACTTGGTTTTCGCTATTGACCGCAACTTGACACTAGTAAAAAATATATATACGGTAGCCATCTCATAAAATTCCAGTTTTGTAGATCTCTGAACCAAAAATGCGAATTTTTTCAACAGGTTAAATTTCCGAACTTTCATAATTTTTTGCGGGGATTTTGACTGACAATTCGAATCGGAGAAGGCATGAATCTTTTTAATTTTCTCTTTTATGCACTTCTGGTTTTGACTTTTAATTTCCATCATTATGTATTTTTTTGATAATTCGACCATCAGCCGTTTTGTATATGCTTAATAGGCTTGCGATTTTGCTATTTTCATATTCTTTCACTTGCATGGCAAAAATTAATCGTTTGGTTTCTCTGGTTAATTGCTTAAGCTGTTTGTGTTTTTTTTAGCTAAAATTTATATTTTTTCAAGTTTCTCCCTTTGAATTTTTGAGGTAAAAGTGAATTTAAGAAATTCAAGTGATCAAAATTTCAGCTTAGCTTTCAAGCTTGAATTATCAATGTGAAGTCGGCAATAACGCGAAGAAAATATTCGTTCATTTGCTCGTTTAAATCAAAAGTTGCAATTTCAATGTCACGTAACTGTGTTTGGTATTTATTTTTCCCAATTTTTTTTCTGTTTTTGTGAAGTACAGCTTTGTCTTTGTGTAAAGTTTTCTTTGAACAGAAGCCTCCGATTGAAAAGATTTTTTTTATTGAAGCGGTTTGATTTCTTTTTTTTGCAGAAAATATAAAAAAAATAGCATGCCATCAGCTCAATCTAATGAAACCTTTTTGATTCATTTTTAATACACTTGCGAAAGCAATTGTCTTGTAACTGGGATATTTTCCTATAAACCGCTTTTCCTACAAATCTCGTAAGAATTTACGAATTACGTGCAGCTATTTTTACGTGCTGTCACGGTCAAGTTCATGGAATTTCAGATATAGCTACCTTGTTCTTATTAGGTAGTAATCTTCTTTTTTCTAATTAGTTGTTATCGTCGGCGCAATTTCTTTTTTTTCCAAATGCATTTTTCTTATCTGGTACGGGTTTTAGTTTGCAACTTTTCGAAGCATGGGTTTTTCGAAACAGTTTCTATTATACCTGAAAGTTGTTATTTAATTTGCAAATGTATCAACTCTGATTTTGAATCTTTTTGGTTTTTTTTTCGATTGAACAGTATAGGTTTTTGTTGCAACGGTTATAAGTCATCTCCTTGTGCGTACTTCGTAGGGAAATCAGTTTCTTATGCTTCTGCATGTTTTAGAGTGACGGACAGTAAAGACTTAGTTTCCTCAAATTTTTTGTGATTTTTGTTTTCGGCATAACGGGAATCAAGCCAAGTTTTGTCATCTTAGTTGCCGCTCGTTGAAGGAGTTGCCATGCTTTTACGACCTGTCTATAGAAATTATTTTAGTTTAACTTATGAAATTTTTAACTTATTTCAAGTCTTATTCTATTCACTATCTTGTAATGCATTTTTTTGCTGTATCGCAAATTAAACTTGCTTTTGTCTTGATCTTTAAATCCAAGCTTCTTCCCACTTGGTCTAAAGGTAACGCGGTTACCTCTGCACCTTAAGGGCTGGGGATTGAGTCCCGGCCGGACTGATTTTTTTTAGTATGTATGGAATTGAAGTTTGTTTTCCGGCAAAAATGGAGTATTCGGACTATCGCTTGTCTGCTTGATTTGTGCGCTTACTTGCTAGATACCAATTTTTTGGTGCTCTTATTAGTTTTCATTGTAGTTGTAAGTGCTGTTGATTAACTCCTGTAGTTAATAAATTTACTAGCCCTGACTTGTATATATTGAGTATGTTTTTTTCTCCTATAACTTTTAGTCGGCCTTAATGATTTCGGCTTATGTTTTATCGGATCAGTCAGTTTGTTTGGTATCGTTAGGAGGGCAAAAATAGCTTTACGGTTGTATTGAACAATTCAGGTTAGTGTGGTATAAAAGTTCAAAGTTAGTCGTTCAAAACTTTTCTATGACAACAATTTCTTGAGGCGTATTCATTGGTTTCGGCCCAATAGGCGCCTACCCACGTTTTTTGTCGGCTTAGTAGCCGCTTGGTAAAAATGAAAGTTTATGTAACGATGTAATTATTTTTTTTTGTGTGTGTTAATGTATAACGACAATAAGCGCTTCAACATGCATCAAAAAATTTATAACGAAGCAAGACATGTTTTATTGATAGTCTGATTGATCTGAGGAAAGGTTTTCATTTACGTACCATCTGAAAATAGTTGTCTTGGGGTTTTGAACTTTACGATTTAAATTTGAGACAGATTTCGAGTACAGTGAGAAGGAACTATGGCGTTGAGGTTTTTTCTGAGCGATTTGAACACCTCGATGAAAGCTGTCAGGAATCAACTGAGATATCATTTCCAAGCCCCTTTTTATAATTCGGGTTTCAGAAAGAAATCAGTGTCGAGAAGTGATTCAATTTTTTGCTACCTAGACTGAACTATTCGAACATCAAGTTACCGAATCCCTGTGCAACATTTGTGATCCCACCATTTCACTTGAAGTGACTGGAAGGAACTAATAATAATGAGGAGGGTGGGATTTTTTGCACTATTATTAACTCAAGAATCATACCTCGTAGGCAGTGAAGTGTGCTATCATATTGAAGCCCTATTGTTTGTGATTCGGATTTCAAAACAAGTTTCAAAAGAGATGTCTCAGACTCTAAATCAGACTGAATTTGATTACTAAATTGACTCGAACTCTCAATTTAATTCTACTACAATTGTCGTATTATTAAGCTAATGTTAGACCAAATTCTTGGAAAATTTCTATTGAACTTTTTCAAATGATCTTGTTTTTCGAATGTCGGCTTTGCGTCTCCGTTTATTTTTTGCCAAGTTAACTGTGATCAGAACTTTCTGTGCTACTTGCGCAGCAATCTGCTAGTCTTGCTATTATTGTAATTATGTACTTATTTTTTAATAAAATAGGACAGAAACTTCAATTTTTTCAATGTGACTTTGTTTCAGCGTCAGTCGTGAAATAGGAATGTGCGATTACACCGCTGCAGTTATGGACAAAGTATGCGAATCCCTTGGATACTCGGATTACACACATCGGAACACAGAAAAGTGTGAGCATAACTTGACAATGATCCATCCTCTTTGTTCTTGTCGCTTCTACTGTGGTTCTATGATACAAACCAAATTATATCACGATGTGGCGGATGTATTTGCTATCATTGATAATATAACCCATCAATGGAAACATAACGAACCAAAAGAGACAAAAAACATGGCTATTGTTCAGTACTGTGAACCAAAACAACAAGGCTGTGTATACGGTTTACAATTGGTTTTTAATGATTCAAACACAGCAGACATATCACTTCTGACCGATGCCTTAACTTTACTAGGAGAGCCTTACCGGAAAGACGACCATCATTTTTTTGAAGCTCCTTTAGACTCTGGATCGAAAAATCGAGGGTCCGGACTTCGAATTACACTCGCGGCTAAGTTTGTACTTGCCGTTGTTAGTTTATGTGGGCTAGTGTTTGTAGCAGTCTATTTTCTGAAGAGATCAAAACGAGGAAATAATGAACATCAGGTGCAAATGACAGACATATCGGACGGTGACATCGAAATATTCGCAAGTGCTGTTATGGATCAATCGGCACCGTATGCGGTCAACCACGCGAGGAGCGGAGGACCTACAAGCACGAGTTTAACCACCAAGTTATTCGGTCCAAAAGCTAGAAGAGATGGATTCCAGCCGTTCAACACTTCGACTTTGGATCTGATCCAAGACGAACAGGACGACGAACCAGTAAATTTTGAAACGAACCAAAACTGAATTACGAATAACAAGCTGCTTATTTTGCATTCAATTAAAGTAGAAAGTGATTGTCTATATACCCTTTTAATGACTGGTTTTTACATTCCAATTGTAAAATTTCAACTTTACCTAATCAATTTTTCAAATAGCAATTTACTTCTTAAGGACTAGCATTCGTTTTTTTCTAAAACAAAATTTTAATTTTCTCAGTCTGAAGTTACAGTTCTACATTGTGCAGAACAGGAACTAAACTAGGTTTATCGCGAGGGAAATTGAAACTCGTCGGTTGTTCAAATTGATCTTTCGAATTCTCCTTTCACCGAAAATTTTCAATGCAGAACATACCAAAAATGCCAGTTTCACTAAGTTTCTAAAAGGTTTTGATTAACCATTTGGTTTTCGAAGCTCTTCCTGACAGAAAAAATAAAGGAAGCAGAGTTTTTATAGAGTTTTCATCTGAGATGTCATTGAGCAATGTCATAATATAATATAAAAAAAGAAAAAATGTCGAACGGTAAATTTCTTACGTAACACCTGATCCGGAAATGTTTGTTCAATTATTAAACCCGGAATAGTCCGTGTCACTGGAAGCTTACAAAGTCTCAATAATCATTCAAATTGTTCTACTAATACGCAAGGCTGTTTTCAAAGACACTCTGGAATTATTTTGTCCCCTAAGAAAATTCAAGATCTGCCATTGTATTTGGAACAAGCATGCCCCGATAACCCCTTGTCATAATGAGCAATTGGACTACGAAAAAAATGGATCATCGAAACATAAAATAAACAAAATTTATCGCTGTTCTTGAGAAAAATTGGTGTCGAAAAGGCGGCGATGTCGAATTCACGAGGGAAAGGCGGCTAGTAATTTAAAACTTAACAAAGAAAAAAACAAGTCTTTCGAAATGGCGTCGTCTAATAGCTCCAATGTAAAATAAGAGCGCCTAGTTGCTGTGCTAGTAGCAAAGATTGTTCCGACCATCGTTATAATTGAAAAAAACGGCGAAAATGTTTTGTTTTGTCAAACTCTATAAACATTCTGTCAATAAATACGGTATGGTATCCGAATCACGATTAAAAACGCTTAAACAGGCTTTCAAATTTAAACGTTTCTGTGCAAATTTTCTATGAGGTAGTCAAAATTGGGTGGAAAAAAATGTCCTTTGCAAAAGTTTCTTGCCACAACGAGGATCGGAACAAAGCTTTCAATCCAAGTGCGAAACCAACTCAGATTTAATCCGCGATTAACAAATTTTATAGAAATTGTAAGATTCAAAATATAAATATCTAATTGAAAATTGCTAAAACGCAGCTGGTACTTTGGGATAAATTGAGCATCAAGGATTAAGGGGAAAATTTATTCAACTAACACCATATTCACAAAATTTCCTAAACAATTAGAAGACTTGAGTTGCTGTTATGATTAAAATGTAATGTAGTTATTTAAATCAACAATTGGGTACGTTTTTGACCTTAAATTGTACTCCTTAACATTCCAACGGTTTGACTTTGACGTTTTATTCGTTCAAATGTCGAGAAGTACAGATTTTGGTCAAAAAATGATTTTAGTTTCCAGGTTTCTGCAATAAAAGTAAACATAAATTTCATACCTTTACCTGATTGAGATTAATAGACGCATCTTGTTGTCGGTAAAAATAAAATCAATTAAAACATAGAAAATTGTGCCCAAGTTTCAAAGTTATTTTCAATGGAAACAATAAAATTTGCCTATAAATTTTATTTTTTTAAAAATGGTTAAACTTGACTGGAAATTTTGAACAGTTTGAATTTTTGCCAACTTGTTGAGTGGACTGATTGATTTCAAGAACTATTTTTAAACTGACTGCAATAACAAAATTGGGCTGCTTGAGTCAGTGTGTCGGAGTGTCACAATGATCCAAGTAGGGCGATACTAAACCAAACTAAACGAAGGCCGTTCTTATGTTTTTATTTACTGCCAACAACCCCTTACTCCCATGTTTTAGCTCTTATCAGACCCGGTCACGGGACAACCACTTTCTTTAAACCATGCTAGTTAGAGCTCCCAATTATAAACTAGTAAGGGTTCTGAGTTATAAAGCGGATTAGTTCGCGTGGCTCTTTTCCCTATGTCACTACCTTCTTGTTCCAAAAACCCACTGCAAGGGCTTTTCTTAGGTTGCAGATAAGAGCATTGGGCACGCCGGTTTGAGAAATTTTCTGGATTTAACAGCATTTTCCTTTAATTTAAGAATTTGTTGCTATTTAATATGAAACGAATTGGTAAAGTTTTCTCGGTAAGTACATGTTTCACGTCATAGATCACTTTTACGGCGTGCACGCTATTTAGGGTCACGTGAGGGGGTAAATTTTCTTTAAGGTTCCAGTACAGAAAATGGTTGAAACTACAATGCAATTACTGCTCTAGCAAACTAAGAATGCAAAACTGAAGCCCCGGGACGCGTTTGGATCACGTTTCCTTTGCTTGAGGCTTTGTTGCCCAGAAGCTCGAATTTGTTTATTGCGCAATAATTCCCAAGAATGATCGGAATTGGCCCAAAAACAAGGAGAGCTTCAGTTTAGTTTTCAGCTTGAAAATCCGACAGATTTCGCTTTAATTGGAAAAAGACTCAAAAAAGTCAGATGAAAATGTTGACGTTCAATTACAAGCCTAGCTAAAAAAAATTTAGTACTAAACTTGTAAAATAATTTTTCTTTCAGGGTAAAATGATTTTTGACAAACGAAGTTTGTTGGTTTGTTTATTTTTCCGTGATTTTTTGAAGGTGGTGATTTTGCATTATTTTGTGGTTTCGAAAAAATATTGAAACTAGAATAATATTCGAAACATCAAAATTGATGTCGAAATCCGTTCTCAATATATCTTGTCTGCTACCAGAACAGTCTGCTAAAAGTGCTGGCTTGCTTTGGATTTTTCTTGACTCGGAATTGCAGCAGTTTCTGCGCACAGTTTTGAAACCTGGTGAAACGGACGTTGTTTTAGTAAGGTTTATAGGACCTTCCTGTTTTGTTATCAGTGGCGTGAAAAATTCATAGACTATTTCGGTTACACTTTCAAAATACATGAAGACCTAAGAACAAGTTTGAATAACTAGGCGTCATAAGTCTTCGGAGTTTAACCTCTAACCATGGTTCCTGAGGCATTTGGTTGCTAAACTTTTCTGTAAACGTTATTTAATCCTAATAAGTATTTGAGAAAACTGCACCAAGAGCAGAAATCAAATTTATATTGAAATTTGAGAGAATTGAATGTTGAACGTGAACCTTCTTTTATTCATTGACCGATAATGGCTCATGGCGACTTGATGCTACGAAAACTGTCAAAAATAGTCAGTGGGAAGAATATTGGCGAAACATGTTCTGGTCCTGAATGATTTTATAGTGTGATAACCCGGGTTGACCAAAATGTTTGATCGTTTAAAAGATTTTTTTACGTAGAACGAAAGTATTTACAGAAACAGAGTTTTTGGTATGGTATAAAATCGACTTCTATTCGGAAGTATAATTCGAACATCTGCCTTATGAAATATAGATCGCGACATGCGTAAATACAACATCGTAAATTATGTTATGCGATTAATTTTTTGTCCAACTCAAAGTGCATTTTTTTTGTAAAGTTTTAGTTTAGAGATTCTTGAGTTATTCAAACAGCTTGAGCATGTTTGTAAAATATGGCTATATGAATTTTGAGAATTTAGTTTTTGAATCCAAGAAACTTGTGTTTGCTTTTTCTAAAAAAAATTTTTTGCCATTTTTTTCGGCGAGATTTAGCTATATAATAAATGGCCTTAAATTTTTTTCGTAACTAAAACCTTTGTGTCGACTACAATCTCTTTTTTAAACGTTCGAGCATTTTCTTAACGGCAAGTGCAATTGTTTTTGTCCTTTTGTTTGTTATCGACGTCATCACAGAAAATGTATATTTTAGTTCAAGTTTTAGTATTGTAAATTTACCAAGGAACTGTTTCAAAATGTGATTCACATTTTCCACAAGATAGTGTATTTGATGAGAATTACTTGCGGATAAAAATTACTTTTTGAACATGTAAAATTTCTAAAATCCGTGAAGGTGTCGTTTGCCAATGAATCAAACAATGGAGTAAAAAGTTATTCAAAAAAAACATGTAAACAAAGATAGCGGGTTGCTGTGCAAGTAGCACAGAATGTTCTGACTACGTTCTCCGCATTTTGTTTCAAATTAGAGCCTTTTATTGTATGTTGTGGGACGATAGAGCTACACAAACGCGTAGAAGTTTACTGAAATAGGCATAAAAGACTACAGTGGTCTTAAAAAAAATGAAAAATTTTAAGGTCAGTCAGCCAAAAAAGGACATCATAAAATAGTATAAATGGGGGACCCTTTGGGTCAACAAGGGGTCAAATCCGCTACTCAAAATTATCTGAATTGTTGCCTGAATTGGTATTTTTTATTAGTTCGAGTTACTCGATCGCTTTACTCGCTGGAAAATACAAAAATCAAAAAATTTCAAACCGGTTTTTCTCAACACTGGGATGTTTTTTCGAAAATTTTATAATGTTCGAATTACAACTAAAAGGGCTTGATTATGATATAATATGATAGTTTGTGGGATCTGACTTATCGTAAAAAAACACTAAAATACACCTGTATACAAAGCTCTTCCACATTTTCAAGCTTCGGAACAAAAATAAGAGTCAAGTTTTCTAAACTTAAATACAAACCTACGTGCCTTTGTTTTTGGCTTAACTTCTTTATGCAGAGAAGGTTCCTTTTGTCCTTTTGATAATTTCAAACCACTTAAGCTTAGACATTTTAGCTTCATTAAAAACTTTCAACTATTCGTTTAAAAATTGAAGGTGAAGCGGTGTTAATTTGGGGTCCAAATTTGAATTGCTTTAGTAAACAAAGCTTTTGTAATCTACAATTGAATTTTTTTTATAACATTTTTTCTAAACTTGTACAGCTTGTGTTGTGATTTTATGATTGCTCTGTTTGCAAAGAGTATCTTCGCTTGTGCATAATTTTTTTTTTGCGCGATTCCTCTCTTAGACATAATTGAATTAAATTTTTTGTCGAATTGTTAAGATGAAAAAATGATCTACTCAATATAAGAAAAATATAGCAAAAATAGCTGTCATAACAAAGTTCGAATTTCAGAAATTTTTTGGGAAAAAATCTCGGTTGTAGAAACGG